TGGCGTCCATTTTGAGCTATTATGGCGTCCTCTCGTAATTGTGTACGGATTAAAAGAGGGGCGGGGGAAGAGTGGTGTGTGTGTGTGGGGGGGGGGTGATGTGTATGTGTAAGGAGGTGGGGGGAGGGGGGTTGTATGTGTGTGTGTGTGTGTAGGGAGATGGGGTTGTGGGGGGGGGGAATGAGGTTGTGTGTGTGTGTATGGAAAATGGGGTTGTGGGGTTGTATGTGTGTGTGTGTAGGGAGATGGGGTTGTAAGTGTGTGTGTAGGGGTGAGGTGGGGTGTTGTGTGGGGGGGAGAGGTGGGGTGTGCGTGTGTGGGAGGAGGGGTTGTATGTGTGTGTGTAAGGAGGTGGGGTTGTGTGTATGTGTGATAGGTGGGGTTGTTTGTGGAGGGGTTGGGTTGTATGTGTGTGAGAGATGGAATTGTGTGGGGTGATGTGTTGGCGTGCGTGTTTTTATGGGCAGATGTGTTTTTGAGAGGGGGGAGGGTGTTTGTGTGTGTGTGTGTATGTGTTTTGCAGGTAGAAAGACACATATAGATATACCTACATATGTATGTGTACACAGCATACACAATACATACACATCACCCTGCGGCAGAACGCGGCCTGTTTACACTCCGCGCACTTAAGGAACCTCCCACCACTTTATGACCCAACTTCACCTGATACTTTATGCAAATGAACTGTTTAAGTCCGATAGTTTTGTATGAATACCGTGGCCATGATATGAGGTTAAAGCCCATATTAAAGAGATGATATAGTGAGCTGACTCTAATGAAGTATTTAAGTCATAGGATAATAAACAGACTATCGGAGTATATAGCAGAGTAACTGCCGACCGCGGAATAGCATATTGATCTCCGAAAGTGCTATGGAAGTGCTGTTAAATTGTGGATGGGCGAGCGGGTAGAGAGACCGCACGAGCCACTTCCCATTCCGTTTCATGTCTGCCCGCCCGTGATGTGCTTGTCCATAATGGAGTGACCTGGGAGATGACATGATACTCTGACCTCGCTGCGTGAAAGTGTTTTGTCCACACGGCGATGTTAGGTCGTTGGGAGATGCGCACGTCTCCGTTTTTTGTTGCTTGGGGGAAATGCTGTTTAAGGGGAGACTGATGAATCCATCGAAAACTTTTATTCGGGTGAGAGGAGTGATAGAAAGAGGGTACTGGGGGAATGTTATTATATTTTTATATGAATATATTAACGGCATATCCAGTTGTGTAATGCATTTCCTTTTCCTGTTGTTTTTGACAAGGGACTTTCGTAGTGTATTTTAGGTTTTGTTATCATCCATTAGGTCAGCTGCGCAATGAGTAATATTTTATTCTCAATGCATAAAAAAGCTTTAGAAGTGAAGGGATCTTAGCCTTGTACTATATATTTCGATACAGTACTACCAAGTGCAATGTATTGGTACGTTTTGGTGAGTTTATAACACGTGGGTCGGTATGTTTATGCAGTCGGGTGGTTTGTTTCATGCCAGTTCTTGTGACTTAATTAATAATGAATATTTACTTTTGTTTCCTCTCTCCGTGCCTTTCGCTCCTTCGTTCTTTAGCTGTCTTCATTCCTCATTCCTATCCTTTATTCCTCTCTATCCCTCTCCTGTCTCCTCTTCTTTTACTTTCGGTCTCTCTCCTTCTCGTCCCTCGCTTTCGCTCTCTCTCCTTTGTGTTTCCTTCATAAATTTCTATCTCCCTTTCTGCTCTCTCTCCCTCTTCCTTATCACCTCCTCTCTTTCACCTATCTTATCTCTCCTTTTCTCTTCTCTTCTCTTCTCTATCCCCTGCCTCTCACACTTCTCTTCTCTCTCTCTCCCATTCCTATTTCCCACCTCATCCCTCTAACCTCTTCTTTCTCTCTCTCTCCCCTCCTTCTATCCCTCCCCCTCTCCAACCCTTACCCTCTCCCTTTCTCTCTCCAATCCCCCTCTTTCCCTCGTACCCTCGCCTCTCTCTCTCTCTCTCTCCTCTCTATTCCCTCTCACCCTCGCTCGCTCACCCCCCTCTCTCTCTCTCTCTCTCTCTCTCTCTCTCTCTCTCTCTCTCTCTCTCTCTCTCTCTCTCTCTCTCTCTCTCTCTCTCTCTCTCTCTCTCTCTCTCTCTCTCTCTCTCTCTCTCTCTTCTCTCTCTTTCTCCTCTTTCTCTCTCTTTCCCTCCTCTTCTCTCTTTTTCCTTCCTCTTCTCTCTTTTTCACGCTCTCTTTCTGTCCCTCAGTCCCTCTCACCCTCTCTCTCTCCCTCTCTTTTACCCTTTTCCTTTCACACTCTCTCTTTCTCTCTCTTTCAAGCTCTCAGCCTCTCTCTTCTCATCGATCCTTTGTCCCATTCTCACTCTCCTTCTCTCTCTCTCTCTCACACAGACACACTCTCTCTCTCTTCCGCTTTCTTGTTTTCACATTTTCCCTCCATCCCTCCCTCTACCTCTCCCTCTCCTCTCCTCTCTCTCTCTCCCTCTCCCTCTCCCTCTCCCTCTTCTCTCTCTCCCTCTCTCTCTCTCTCTCTCTCTCATTCTCTCTCTCTCTCCTCTCTCTCTCTTCTCTCATTCTCTCTCTCTCTCTCTCTCTTCTCCTCTCTCTCTCTTCTCTCTCTCTCTCTCTCTCTTCTCTCTCTCTCTCTCTCTCTCTCTCTCTCTCTCCTCTCTCTCTCTCTCCCTCTCTCCTCTCTCCCTCTCCTCTCCTCCCTCCCCTCTCCCTCTCTCTCTCTCTTCCTCTTCTCTCTTTCTCTCTCTCTCCTCTCTCTCTCTCTCNTCTCCCTTCCCTCTCTCCCTCCACTAGTCCTCCTCTCTCTCCGTCTCGCTTCTTACCCTCCCTTCCCTCTCTCCCTCCCACTAACCCCCCTCCCTCTCCCCCGCCTCGTTTCTTACCCTCCCTCCCTCTTCCCTCCACTACCCCCCTCGCCTCCCCGTCTCGCTTCTTACCCTCCCTTCCTCTCTCCCTCCACTACCCCCCCCTCCCTACCCCGCCCGTTTCTTCTTACCTCCCCTCCCTCTCTCCCTCACTACCCCTCCTCCCCGTTCGCTTCTTTACCTCTTCCTTCCCTCTCTCTCCTCACTACCTCCCTCCCTCTTTCCCTCTCCACTACCCCCCTCCCTCCCCCGCCTCGTTTCTTTCCCTTCCCTCCCTCTCTCCCTCCCACTACCGCCCCCCCCCCTCGTTTTTCTCTCAGCGGGCCGGCCAAATCGCGGAATAACTCTCGGAAAACCTCACTGTCGATCTTGCTTATTAACGCGTTGCGAGTGAAGGTCGTCAATAGCAGGGGAGATTAGGTAAGAAGCGAGATTGGAGATTGGAAGGGGGAGGCAGGGGAGAGCAGGGGGGAGGAGGAGAGGGGGGGGGGTTGGGGAGGGATTGGAGGGGGGGAGGAGGAGGAGTGAGGGGGTGAGAGGGGATTGGGAGGGAGGGAGGGAGGGTGGAGGGGGAGACCTAATTGGGGTGGGAGAGGGCGAGAGGGAGACGTGATTGGGATGGGAGAGGCGAGGAGGGGGGCAGACGGGGTTGGGAGGGGGAGAGGAGGGGCAAGACTGTAATGGCGAGACTGATTTACTGATTCCATAAGGTCTTTCTGAAATAGATTCGAAGATTTTTTTCTTTCTTTTTTTCTTGGTCCTTTTTCTTCTCATTGTTTTTTCTTTTCTTTTCTTTTCTTTTTCTTTGTTAGGAGTGGTGTTTTAGGGCGATTTTTTTTTAAGTGAATTTTTTGTTTGTTTTGTTTTTTCTTTCAAGAAGGAACTTTTTGTGAAAAACATTATAGAGAAATCGTTTTCATATTTCTTGGTGATACAACATTTTAGGGGAAACTATTGTTTTTTTTTGTTTTTTATTCTCTCTCTCTTTTTAAGGTGGAAAAAATGCTAATGAGTATTTTTTTCAGAAAGCTTAATTATGTCTTTTTTGACGACGGAAACTTTTTTCTAATAACTTTTTAGGAATTACAATATTAAAGTTTATATTTTTATGAGCTCTACCTATATATCATATCATGTTTCTCAGATCATTACTTACATATTTATTATATTTTATACAAAATAGATATCAGCAATCTTAAACTGATAAAAGATAAAGTTATTATCAAAGATAAAGCTCGAGATTGACCCCCCAAAAAATTGATAAACAAGAGTTGTGTTGTTCTTTTTAGTTTGAAAGCAAGGTCGTTGTTTGTCAAAGAAATTCACGTGTTATGGAAAGAAAATGTTTTGTTTGTGTTCGAGCAGCCACGCGCGTGCGCAGACGGCTGGCAGTCCATAAGGGAATTGCTGTCTCAAGATTTCTTTGTGTCCGGGGGAGCATTTGGTGTGTGTGTGTGTGTGTGTGTGTGTGTGTGTGTGTGTGTGTGTGTGTGTGTGTGTGTGTGTGTGTGTGTGTGTGTGTGTGTGTGTGTGAGTGTGTGTGTGTTGTGTGTGGTGTGTGTCAGTGTGTGTGTGTGTGTGTGTCAGTGTGTGTGTGTGTGTGTGTGTTGTGTGTGTGTGTTGTGTGTGTGTGTGTGTGTGTTGTGTGTCCGTCAGTGTGTGTGTGTGTGTGTGTGTGTGTGTGTGTGTGTCAGTGTGTGTGTGTTGTGTGTGTCAGTGTGTGTGTGTCAGTGGTGTGTGTGTGTGTGTGTGTGTGTGTGTGTGTGTGTGTGTGTGTGTGTGTGTGTGTGTGTGTGTATATGTGTGTGTGTGTGTGTCAGTGTGTGTGTGTGTGTGTGTCCAGTGTGTGTTTTATCGGTTTTATCATTATCATGAATATCATAATTATTTACTATATCATAATCATTATTGATTTCACTATTATGATTATTATCAACCTTTTATCAATCTTTCTCTCGACATCCGCTGGTGTTGTTATAAATATTGCAGTTTCCACCTCTAATGCAAAGACAATCAGTACTAATATTTTCTTGTGGCGTTACACTTTCTTGTCACAAATTAGAAAGTATTTTAGTTTCTGTTCATATCCTGATTATATTTTTTATTCATTCATGTATTCCTTTATTCGTATTGATATTTACTAAAATGGTTGTTGACATTCTTTATGTTAAGTATATGATATGTCATATAGTATGCTGAACGTGGCAAAAACATACTATATATAGATGGATAGAGAGACAAACAGACAGACAGGCAGACAGACACACACACACGCACACACACACACACATACACAGACACAAACACAGACAGACAGATAGACACACAGACAGGCAGACAGGCAGTTAGACGGACAGACAGATAGACACAGACAGACAGACAGACAGATACAGACAAATAGATAGAAATGCAAATCTATATATCTTATATGTGTATATTTTATTTATGTGCAAATTTACAACTAGTAATATCCCTTTTCTTTTCTTTTCAGGAGAATGAGATCAAGCAGGTGAGTTGCCAACGCTCGAAAAAAAAAACGGAAAAATACGCCTTTAATATTCTGTTAATCTTTCAAAATCAAGTTTGGTGTTTGTTTGTGTGTTTGTTATTCATTCTGTCCGTTTGGTGTGTAGGTGAAAAGTATCAATTAGATTTGAGATGTGCGGCGTGTGTGTATGTGTGTGTATTCGCGTGTTTGTAGTTGTGTTTGCTTGTGTTTGTCGTTGTGGGTTTGTGTTTGTTTGTGTTTGTCTGGGCGTGTGTTTGCAATTACGAATTCAAATCAAAGCGCACAACCTCAACGCCCGAATCCCTCCCACAACACAACACCCTCGATTCCCAGTCAGCCAAAGCGTCAACCACAACACCCACAACTGCATTCACAACCACAATTTTTATTATTACAATCACGACTACAACTACGACCAGAATTGCAATCACAACCACAACTGGTCACAATCACAACCACATCCATAACTACAACTACAACTGCAATCACAACACTCATAAACAACCACAACTGCAATCATACTATAACACACTGGCAACCGCAACTGCAATCACAACTATAACTACAACTGAAATCACAACTACAACCACGGCCAAAATTGCAATCACAATAGCAACCGCGACTACAATCACAACTGTAATCACAACTACAACCATATCCACAACTGCAATCACAACCACAACCACAACCACAACTGCAATAACCACTCCTAAACCTACACCGCCCTCAGCCGCACCACAGCGATTCCTTCCCGGTTAATTTGGATGAACTGGTGCCACTCCGAATAACCGGAGCAGCTACATCGGTTGGCTTTTAAACCGTCAAAGTGGGCGACAGAAATGGCCTGCTGTTAAATTCCTCTTTTTTTTTTTTTTTTTTTTTTTTTTTGGGGGGGGGGGGCTTTGTTGAGGTTTGAAGGAGTGGTGCTTGCGTGTGTGTGTGTGTGGGGGGTTGTTTTGTTTTTTGTTTGATTTGTGATCTGATTGTAGTTGGTGTTGTTATTATTGGTGTCGGTGTTATTGTTATTATCATCATTATCATTATCATCGTCTTTAAAATCGTTAACATCATCATTGTCATTAATATCGTTGTTAATACCTCTTCCTCTCCTCCTCCTCCAAACTCACCATCATCACCACTACCACCATCATCATCATCATCACATCTCATCATCATCATCATCATCACCATCATCATCACCATCATCATCAATCATCACATTCATCATCATCATCAACCATCATCATCACCATCATCATCACCCATTCAGCCCTTCCATTTCTCCCATTCCCGGTCCCTCACTTTCTCTCATTCCCGAATTCATGTCATAGATCACCGTCTCATTTCTCTTTTAATGTTAATCGTTTCTCATTCATTAACTTCGTTTTATTCCCGTTCAGATTAATCCGATTTCGAGGCGTAATCTGAAAGACTTGTTTGGTCACGTTATCACATTTTTTTTCCTCTCTCTCTCTTTTTCTTTTCTTTTTTAGATTATTTTGAAATGATTTTGAATCACTAAATTAGGAAGAGTTTGTTGGGTGTTATTCGTCATTTTCATAAATATATCTTTTTGAAAAGTTGTTATCAATAGAACGTTTCAATCGCGCTTTCCTTGTTTTTTTAAAAGATGATTCTCTTTCTCTAAGTTAAAAAAGACATGTTTATTTACATTCTCCCGATTTATGTCACGTCCAGATTCAAAAGTTACTTTTACATGAACTTTTGCTTCGCTTTAAACGTCCTAATTAAAAAGTTTTAATTCATTTTTATTCCCGCCGTGATTTGAAGGTCACATTTAAATCTCTTAATCTAAAAGCTTTATTTATTTACAGTCTCCCGATTTTAGGCGACACTTCCTGATGATTAAGCTCCATGCCACTTTTAATCTCTTGCCTAAAAGGTTTATTTATGTTCACCCTTTTCTTCAAATCCTAATTCCACAAATAGGATTCACCTTCTCCTCATTTCAAAAGATAACTCCGAAGCTCTAACCTCTAAAGCGACACTTCATAATTACCTCAAATCTAATATTTAAATGATAAACAAATATATTTCTTTCCTTGAAATACACGCTATCAACCCTTTATATAAATCTTTTCAAACAATGTAAGACAACGAAAAGTTTTCTTTTTTAAAAATCCCAGCCGTTGATTCTGTTAATAATACTAAAAATAATTAAAAAGAATATAGCAGATAAAAGGAAAGGTAAATAGATCAGAGATGAAGGGAGCGTGCGTATAAAGGGAGCCTGAAAGAGCGCGGACTCAAAAGGGAGTCACCTAGAAGTTTCAGTATTTGAGGTTTGTCAATATTTGTGATTTGTATCTTTTATATATATATGCCAGAAAGATTTTTTTTTTTTTATTTATCTATTATTATTATTGTTGTTGATGTTATTATTATCATTTTTATAGATATTGTTATCATTATTATTATTATTATTATTATTAATATTATTATATGTATCTGTATCTATTTCTGTATCCATCTGTTTATCTATCTATCTATCTGTCTATCTATCTATCTATCTATATCTATATCTATATATATATATCTATATCTCTATATCTCTATATCTCTATAATCTCTATATCTCTATATCTCTATATCTCTATATCTCTATATCTCTATATCTCTATATCTATCTCTATATCTCTATATCTCTATATCTCTATATCTATATCTATATCTATATCTATATCTATATGTTTGTATGTATATGATATTGATAGGTAGATAGATGAATTAATATATACACATATATGTATATTTTTTGAATATTTTTTTTTCTTTTTATTCTTTTTGTTATACGAACTAAGCTGAATGTTTGTTTTTGATATCTGAATATTTGTTATACACTTCAGTTATCCGTATTACCTGAGTTATTTGTTATCTGCGTCCAGTGAGGATTTGTTATTTATGGCAGCAGGACATTGATCATGTAAGAATGTCGTGCATATTGCCTGTTTATTACGTATGTTGTGGTTGTAGTATGTTGGGATTTTGAAGGCTGGGTATGCTGATTATGGGGCAGCGGTGGGCATGGCTGACGAAGGGTCGATTTTATTGTTTTATTTTTGTTTTCTCTTCCTCCTCCTCTTCCTCTTCATTCTCCTCCGTCTCCTTCTCATTCTTCTTCTTCTATCTGTCTATCTCTCTGTCTCTGTCTGTCTCTTACTATCGCTCTCTCTCTCTCTCTATCTATCTATCTATCTATCTATTTATCTATTTTATGTCTTCTCTCTCTCTCTCTCTC